TTAGATGGAACATTGTGGGTGTGGTGTATGAATGTTAACACTTTGTAATAATTCTTTAGTATATTACTTGTGTGGTGTAAGAATGTTAACACCGTTATAATCTTTTTTTAGTATAATATGTGTGTGTGTAGAAGTGAATCATTTACTGCTTGCAAACCAATGATGGTAAGATGATGTCATGGGGTAGGACTGGATAAGTCTGACTTCTTCCTACTCCATTCAAGCATGTACTAGGTATAAGCACATTGATATTGGATTAGCATTTGTTGGATATGTGTAAAATTATGTGTGTTGACATATCAACTGTCTTTACATGCTTGAAAGAATAAATCAAATTTAAAAAAAAATCAAATCAGTTAATGACATCCGAGGTACATCTGCAGTTACTCTGGGTTACATGGAAAGATTGTGGAGTAGTTCAGCTAAGCTGTAAAAACTAAATTACAATTTGAATAAAAAAAAAAAACATGCATATTGGTTCAGTTATAACACCTGTGCACCATGTTTTACTGTAATAGTGTGTGAAAATTAGTTATCAAGCAAGCAGAAAAGTTGAAACAGCTAAAATTAAATAAACAGTTCAAATAATTGGCTTAAAGTAATACAAATGGTTGAAATAATTTGCTAATATTAAGTCAAGGATAAAAGGTTGAAATAGCCAAAGTAAAATAGCTAAAGTAACCAACAAACAATTGAAATGCTTAAATACTAAAAGTAACGAATAAATGATTGAAATGGTTAGCTGAAAGAAATAAATAAATCATTGAAATAAATGGTGGTGTTTGTGAAGTGGATGTACATCAGATTAAAAAGGTGGGGAAACTCTCCTATACTCTACTGTATGTAGAAAACAGGTCCATGTAGAGGTATGAAATACTGCAGCAGTGTATTGGGATGCAAGTAAAATGCATAAAAAGTAAACAAACACATTGATGTAGCTCACCTCTCCCTTTTGTCCAACTGGCCCAAAAGGACCCTGAAAAAATAGATATAAATATATATGAAAACTGTCTGATTTGACATTACAGCATGAGACATAGCACACAATCAATAAATCAGTTAATCAATCTCACTACATTGGTTGGTAAATTTGAAAGATATCATCAGTTTCAGCTGGTGTCAGTTCCTCGGGGAGACTGTACCAGTGACTCAGAGCATTAAAAACTAAAAGTTGCCTCATCAGCACTTTGTAGAGCCAAACAGGCTGGCCCAAGATCATGATGTGCTTTATAGACAAGAAAAATAATTTTAAGAATTAAAACTAAAACTGACAGGCAACCAGTGTGAAGACTTTTAAACAGGTTTACTAAGTTTTCTCCATCTTTTCCCGTAGTTTGCAGTCAGGCAGAAGAGGCCTAAATCGGTTGTACCACTAGATACTGCTAACAGAGGGACAAGTTTCTGGGACATGTGCTTGGATTCTGACTGAGGATATAAACTACAAGGGCACCCTTGTAAAAGAGCTGTTTGACCAAAAGGGACTTTTCCCCTGGATAAATAAAGGTTAAACAAAATACACATGAAAGATTATACTCACAGGTTCTCCGTTCTCTCCTGGTAAACCATCACTTCCTGCCACACCCTAACGTGACAACATGAAATATTTGATTAGATCTCACACAACTCCAGAACATTGCGTCATTACTGGGAAAAAACAAACAAGATCATTTCTCATTTCCAATCTTCAAACATCTGGATGAAAGCTATCACAGGGAATTCGGTTAGAGGTCATGTTTAAACTTGACAAACTTGGACACTGACTTAGAAATAGTTACCATGTCTCCTTTAGGTCCAGAAGCTCCAGCTGGACCCTATGGGGGTTGAAGGAGGAGTGACAGAGAGAGAGAGAGAGAGAATAAATGAGGACCATATAGAGACATTTGTGGGAGAAGGAAGTAGGCTGTGTGAGAGTAACCTGGCATAAAGACCAGCATTGTTCTGTCTTCAGATTGTGAACAGGATTCCCCTTTTGCTGGAGATCTCTCCTGGCTACGCTTTGAGTTTATCGCCCTAAGACTGAGGAGGGATGACCTGGTTATTAACATACACCACAGTAGTTACAGTACATATCGGCTGTGTCTGTGTTGTGTGTAGATATGCTGGTGTGCTCCGACATTTGTTAAAGTTTTATATTTGAATTTTAGGGAGTTATTCTTGAGATTTTTGATGGGGTTTTGGGGGCTTTTATGTTGTTTTATATACTATATTAGAGCTGTGATATATATATATATAAATTGTTCATAGTAACTTTTTAAAATGACCAACTTCCTCTGGTTTGAATATCTTGTTTCCAGAGTCTATTATGATGTTAAACCTGCTGCCTTTGTTTTTGGATAGTTGGACCATTTTCTTATTTTTTGACATCTTATAGACCACAAAATTATTTGATTAATCAAGAAAATAACTGGTCCATTAACTGATACAAGAAAATAATCATTGCAGCCAGCCCTGTATTATATCACAGTGGATGATGTTAAACCCTGTCTCACACTTCAAACTCACCCTTTCACCAAACTCTCCACGGATTCCTGTTGGACCTGGAAGACCTGGATCCCCCAAAGCTCCATTTACCCCCTGCAGTACATAACACACCTAGTGAGTAAACTCACTAAAATAACAATTTAAAAAATTGATCATGATTGGTGATGTCATGCAACTGACCTGAAAGCCCTTCACTCCTTGAGGCCCAGGGTTGCCCACAGGTCCAATGCCTCCCTGTTGGAAACAGATGGTGTCATGTCATGCTACTAGGAAACACAACTGTTTGTCAAAGACATGTCCCTCTTGGACAAGATGTTTGGTCTGTGATGGTTGTTTGAGGTCTGACTCATTATACAGTGAAGTGTGCAGTAAGTGTCTTCATTCCTATGAGTGTTTTATCCTCCTTCCTTCACTGCAGGCTCTGATGTAAAAATCAAAGACTTTGTTGATGAATTCTCCCTTTATGAATGTCAGCTCTCATCACTGGCTCTTCATTTTTTCTAACTCTACCTTTGCAAACCATTGAATCATCAGCAAAACTCTTAGTACGTTTGCAGCTGAATATCATCAACTTTGAAGAGCAGCGATACATTATCTTGTTATTCCAGTTTTATCTCATATTCATGATGTATGTGGCCATGCGTTGTAGTGCTTTACATCATTATGCATTCAAAGAACCACACTGAGTATTAGAACAGTATACTGTAGAATATAAGAAACTGCATCTAGATTCTGTCAATTGGTTAAATGTAATGCAGCATAAAGTCTCACAGTTTGGCTGATTATTTTTAAATGTCCTGTAATAGATTACTTTGAAGTGTTTATATCAATATAAGCAGTGCAGCAGCTTGACAATAGATACAGTACATGTACACATCACTTAGTTTATAGTGTATACATAAACTCACAGCCACTCCTCTGGGCCCCGGTATCCCCCTCTCTCCTGGGACGCCTATCTCACCCTGAGAGATGATATGAAAGACAAGTCAGGAAAGTTTGGAGACCAGGCAAAACATTAAGTTCCATGTACAGTAGGGTTGAGTGACATGTCAGAGAGGCTTTAATCCAGTAACACCCCAGAACCCCATCAGATACATACAGGAATACCTGGCTCTCCAGAGGGTCCCGTCTCCCCAGCCTTCCCTGGATCACCCTGATGTAAGAGAAAGCAGAAGACAACAGTTATCCTTCAGGCTCCTAATCTTTAAGGTTAAAGTTGATTTCTGTTTTGTTGTAGTACTCACAACTTCTCCTTTAGATCCATTTTCACCAGCCTTTCCTTGTAGACCCTGGGACAGAAAATACACAACACAGTGACTATGTGAAAATGAATGTGCAGAATGGCACTGAGAGAGGGTGTTACAGTCAAACCTCTGATTAGAATGGAAAATCAAGAAAACATTTAATATTCTTTATTATCAGTTAGACAAGAAAGACCCACATTTATTTGCAAGCTACTTACAGGAAGGCCATTTGGTCCTTTCTCTCCAACCACTCCGTGGCGTCCAGCATCACCCTATCAGAAAGGCAACGCTGACTGTGACAACAGCCTCACTATGGCAGTAGACTCATTATTAATTCAAGACAAACACCATACAGGAAGAAAAGGTGCAACTTGCCTTCTCGCCATCTAATCCTGGTATACCGTCTTTTCCATCTCTACCGGGAATACCCTGCAGAAGACATCAAACATGAGCTGTCTGGTTCTGAGTGATGCATATCAAACATGTATGACTTTGTCAGATATGTACTTACAGGCTCCCCTTTAGGTCCTGCTCCCCCAGGAGCTCCTTTAGGACCGATTTTACCCTGTTGAGATACACATTAGGGTGTCATTTATGCATTGTATATGTACATGTGAAATTAACAGTCACAACTCAAACTGTTTTACTTACAATTTCTCCTTTGGGTCCTTTGAATCCCTGTGGTCCTTTTTCTCCAGCATCGCCCTGGAGACATCAGATGAAACAAACACAGCTATTCATTGACGGGACCAGCCATCTATTCTAGCTATGAACTATTACCAAGCCCTGTTTTTACTTATTAAAGTGTGTTACAAACAAGGAGAGACTCACTGTCTTTCCAATGATGCCAGCGATGCCAGGCTTGCCTCTGAAACCAGGGAAGCCCTAGGAACAAACAGAGAATGAGCTGAAAGGATACATACAAGTTTGTACTCACACTGTAATGTCTGAACCGTGAGTGATAAGACAGTGAGATTGCTTACTCTGTCTCCTGCAGGTCCCACTGGGCCTTGTAAACCTCTTAGACCACGTGGGCCCTGAAACACAACATTACAGCATTGTGAAGGTAGATACACAACAAATCCCATACAGAATATCTCATGATTCCTCAAATATCACCTGGATATTGTGTATTAAATATACAAAACCTATGAGTAGCCAACAGGTGAAAGGCAGCACAAGAAGAGGAACAATAACTGAAGTAATATGATATTTCCATGAATAATCCTTATGTATAGTAACTCACCTGAAGACCCACAGTGCCGGGAATACCTGGAGGACCAGGAGGGCCAGCGTCACCCTAGAGACAGAACAGGATACTTGGTACAAAATCACAACACTAGTCATAGAAAGATCAGTACCTGCTCTCAATAAAACCAATGTTTTGCACATAATAAATTAAAATGATCATTATGTAACCCTATTAACCACACTGGGCTCTGTTTTCCTTCCTTTTTGTACATTGGTGAGTTTGGTATTTTCCTGCGCTGAGGTGGGAGGAGAGGTGCAACTGAGACAATATTTATGCTGATTAAGCAGCGCCATGCAGTTTTGGTGCTCATTTTGACCTGAAATTATGTTTGCATTAAGACCTGCTCAGACCGCGTCTTATTGCGAACACAGGTGTATGGCAATTTTCGTAACAACAGCCTAGGATAGGAAGCTCAATCAGAGGTAAATGTATTTTAACAGCCACACCAACTTAAAACAAACCTTTACATCCACAACTGATCTGATGGAATTCTCTGTGAATAATTTATTGTGAAATACTTGAATTTTGAATTGTGTATGATCATTTAGAAAGACTTTTCAAATAAGATAAATGAAGTAGTCCTTATATGAATATGGTCAAACAGGGTTGGTGCATGTCATGATGCACCATCTGTCCTTACAGAATGCAGCTGTCAGTAAATTACTCTATTGAATTGCTGTTGGTTGCAGAACCAGTCTTTCTTTCTCCCCATACACAAAAGCTGCTAACCAGACTACAGAGAGAATATTTATGTGCAATACATGCACAATAAACAACAACATCAACACCGGTGGTCATCAAAATCGTTGGACACACCCATATACACCTTCACCTGGAGCTTAAACTTAGGTCTGTGCACCATTTCAGGAAAACAGAGCCTGTTCTATTACTGACAAAGGTCAAAGAAATATATCACATAATAACCTCACCTTTTCTCCATCTTTGCCAGGCTCTCCTTTGTCTCCTTTATGCCCTGTGTGACCCTACATGAGCAAAAATACACTTGTGAATGAATAATAATAATGACTGTCCCTGAGGGAATGTATTGTGATAGTGCAGGGCGGCATGGCTTGTCTGTGTTCCCAGAGACATGTTGAGCAAAATACAGTATAATAAAATAAAACAAAACCTTGGCAGAAACTCTATTTACCTTGAATCCTGGCATACCAGGAGGACCTGGAAGACCAGGGGGGCAGATTGCAGGACACTGCAGAGGACAGAGACAAAACACTGAGGACGCACTTCGGTTTACAGTCATCATGCTATTTTCATAGGGTGCATGATTGAAATCTTACCAGCAGGTCACCACTAAGATCATGAAGAGTACCAGGAAGACCCTGAGAGAGAAATGACAACACACAGCAAGATATTAAGAGCCGTTTTATTAAGGTTAAAGCATCCTGGGTTCTGTGAAGTTCATTTCTCACAGTAGGCATGGTGCTTCTCTGGGTTCACAGACAAGAGATTCACTGGATGGCGGTGGGAAATATATACAACTACAATGTGTCAGCAGCGCCAGTAATCAACTATATAATGATGACTGCACTTACTGGGGGCCCATCAGGGCCAGGAGGTCCAGGAAGTCCTGGAAGACCTTCAGCGCCCTGAGAAATGAACAAAAGAGCATTGTGATTAGTGGCATCTTTAGCATGTCAGACTAAAATTGGAATTATAGAGACAATCTGGTTCTTCCATCTGCAACATACGAGCTATGAGAAATTACTACTATACTACTACTACTACAAAAATACTTTGTTTGACCCCTTGCTGTGTTTTTACAGACAGTAGAAACCTTGACAGTGCCTAACATTAATGTTGTGTTAATGCTGTGGCTCTCCTTCTGTACCAGCTTTACTGTTTCTGTTGCAGAAGTCATTCACTCTTCACCTAACAAATTAACTGGAGAGAGAGAGAGAGAGAGAGAGAGAGAGAGAGAGAGAGAGATACTCACTGGTGGACCCTGCGGTCCAACACCACCTGGCAGCCCAGTGGTTCCAAGTAGTCCCTGGAAACAAAAGACACTGGGTGTGTACAACACATCAGAGCACATGTACAGTATAGATGTAACACACACACATACACATAGACATCTGAGCTACAACATAAATTAGCATGTACAACTATATACTCTCCCAGGATGGTTGTAGTTTAAATATGATACACAGCCAGTACATTACTCTCTCCACCTTTCTGCACATAAGAATGATATAAAAGAACAGTGCTGTGTACTCACTGGAGCTCCTGGTCTCCCTCTGCCCTATGAAAGACACAAGAAGGCAAATTAAGTCACAAACAATAGTGGATGATTAGAGTCTCTCACATCAATATCCACCATGTCATGTAGTACTGCATCAAATCCGCATTAACAGTTTGCTGCAGGTTGTTGCTATGAGGCGGACGTGCACAGATCAATGATAATCTGTGACAAAAGGTGACAGTGCTTCATCATCTTTGTGTTAACTGTGTTTGCTTTGAGCTCAGCTATACCTGATATTACAGGACTTAACTCTGAAATCATACAGACCAGACTGAGATGGGGCCAACTGTAGGTATAAGATGGTAGCTAAAGGAATGAGCAGACTCTTTAGGCTACTGATACTTTTTGATAGTCAAATTGGGATGGATACATTTATGAAGCAGTGCTGTAGTACTCTAGTCCAGGAATCGAACTTGAGTTCGACCCGACTTGTGACTGGACTTGGATTTGAGCACTGATGAGTCGGACTTGGACTCAGACTCCAACTTCAGCATTGACTGCATTTGGACTTGGAAGTTGGAGACAAGGACTTGATTTTTTTTGTAATAGGCCATAATAACATAGCAAAAGATAATGATTTTAAAACCTGTTTGCCTGCATGATGCTGTATCTGACACATGTCCATCAACACACACTCCTCCTTTCTCTAAATGATGTTTATGTATGCTTGGTTATTGTGTCACACACATTAAGTAAACTCCTTTTTAAATGGTGAGAGCTGTGTCACTTGTGTTTAATGTAGATCTCGATGACTTGGACTCAGGTAATGGGGACTCGACTTGAACTATTCTTTGGTGATTCAGACTAAAACACTGGGGACTCGAGACTCAACTTGGGCTTGAGGCTTAGTGACTCGACTACAGCACTGATATGAAGTTACTGTTGTGTACCTATGTGATGTTTCTTAGGTGTTAAATAGTATGTGCGGGTACTTACAGGAGATCCAGGTGGACCGGGAGGCCCAGGGTCGCCCTGTAGAGGGAAAGCAAGGAAAAATGCCACAATCAGCTTCTCAGACATCATCAAATGCTGAAACCTAAAAACCCTTTGATCATAATGCTCATCCATGTGTGAACGCAACAGCAATTTAGATTTTCTCATGCATAGTCAACAGACATTTGGGATTGTTAATTTAAAAAAACTGCAAACAGGAACAGTTTCAGTGTACACTGCAAGACTATGAAGAGGGTAAGAAATTCTTGAGAACAGTAAATGAAATAGTTTGTATATAATTACACATAATCGCTGTAAAATAAAAAGGCACCAACCTGTTAATTATAATCTATACGGTTCAAACTACATTCACAGATTCCACGTCAAACCCACCTGTGAGTTTATTGTTGTTCTGCAAGTGTTCAGCCTACAAATGGGCATCACCATTAATCTCCTTGTTTTGTTTTACAGGTAGTTACTGTAATGAATGTGTGTGTGTGCATGTGTGTGGTATATGGTGCTGGACACAGTTGCTAATCACAGACACAGTCATGGTCAAGGAGTGTTGCTGTTATCTGTGAGTTTGCTTTATATTCTACAAATATATTCAGATAGCTTAACTCATTGTAAGGAAATCAGTGTTGGAAATACATTTGATATCTAAGGTGTTCTTTGGCTAATCAATCCACCGTTACTGATACTGAGAAGGTAAATCTGGATCTTTGCAGTTACTGTGATAAACTAATACGATAAGTCTCAAAATTAGTTTCCCTGTGTGCATGTGTAGTCTGGTTATCTGTGCAAAGATTCATTCATGTACTTTATATTGTTAGCTGTGGAAGAGATAATCATAACAAATACTTGTTTTAAGTCATTTTTCTTCACTAATTCTGTCAGTAAAAAATAACTCATACAAACTTGTTCCACACACAAATGATGAAACTGTGGTTTCCTGTCATGCCCCCTCCTCTTTCCTTTCTAACCTCATTTCACTATTTCTCCCCCTCCTTCTCTAACTCTCTGTTTACCCCCTCTCAGCGGTATTTGCATTTTCTCAGAGGTGAGAGAGCGAAAGACTTAACACCACAATATTACACTCACATACTGCATTCCTCAGTGGGCAAACAGGATATACCGTCACACAAGTCTTAAGCACAGAGATGTGACGTAACTAAAATATGCAAAAATACTAAGCAGATGAGCCTTAAAAATGGTACTAATTTGTGATAATGAACAGTCCATATGTCTGTTAACTGATTTTGTTTGGAAGCTTATGTGCGGTCTCAGACTCCTCCAGCCTGATCCTGATTGTCTTTGCACAGCTCTTCATCACTTCTAGAACAGTGTAGCAATGAGTAATTAGGGACACAGGCTGATGCAAGCTGCCTCATTAGGTTGACTAATTAGTTGAGTTGTGGGGGGGCTTTGGAGCCTTACAGCGGAGATCCCTCATTCTTTATTCTTTCATATCTTACACTGTGGGAAATAAAAGCCTTCCTTTTTCATCATAAGCAATAGTTTGATATCACATGTGTTTAGGTTTGTCTTCCCTCAGCATCCGGGCAACAGATCATCATCCCCCACAGTTTCACGTATAGGTGGGAAACAGTGTGCATTCCAGGCCGGATTAGGGAAGCAGCAGAAATAAATCAGATTCGAATCCCTCATTAAAAATATTCCCACAGAGAAGCAGAGTTGGTTTGACAGATCCAGGCTGACAGAGGAACCAGACACTGTTCCTGTTACTCACCTAAACCCCTTAATACAACAGCACTTGAGTTTACATACGTGTTTGTTCATGTGTGTGGCAAGTGGCTGACTCTGTCTGATTAAAGAAGGGCAGTCTGAAGTATAGAAGGTCATAACACTCAATTGGGAGCCTCTTTAAGCATATCCTCAGCATCCCAGAAGGATTGTAAGACTTACTGCTTCCCCTGGGGGCCCGTCCTTCCCTGCAGGACCATCAGGACCTGTCAAACCCTGAAGAGAAAATACATCATTCAGCTGTACATCACTGCTTCATACTCTGCTGGTATTTTAAACACTGTCAAAACTCTATCATTTCAGTTTCACAGCAGGAGCTACACTCTGCTTGGGCACCGATTCCTTGACAAAGACATGTAAGAAATGTCTGTGTGTGTCTCTCTATGTGTGTTTACAGGACACTTACATCCACTCCTGGAAGCCCTGGCATCCCTGGTTTTCCTGGTGCCCCTGGTAGTCCTGCTTTCCCTTTGGGACCCTAAAGAGCGAGATGTATGAAGAGGTGATCAGTTATTTAACCAACAGATAAATAACTTTCTACTTCTTTTATCTGAACACCATAAAAAAACGGTTAAAACTAAAAGTGTTGAACCTTGTTTCCTTATTGGGGTAAATGATGAAATAAGCTGTACCAATTTAACACTGTTATATTATTTTAACATGCTGTTGAGAGCATGTTAAAATGCCTCACTAAGGCAAGGGGAGGTTGCCAGGAAATATTAATAACCCTGGGGAGAGGCCTTTTACAAATTAAAACATAAGCTCCCCCCAATAATTCCCATACAGCCCCTAAGTAAAATTGGTTTGACTTATTGGAATACTCACTGGTTTCCCTGGCAGTCCAGGAGGTCCAGCTTTACCCTGGTAATAAAGAAATAAAGAATAAGTATAAGTAAGTAGGTGTGGAGAGGAGGTGTAAGGTGAAACTCTAGATGGTTTCACAGGGTTGAGGATTATATGAATGGGGCCTCTGTGTGTCTAGGCTGACATTATACTGTATGAGCTGATATGACCAACTAAATAATAAGTACAAGCCATTCATAGCATGAGTATAATCTAAGCTTTAAAGGGTTTAATAGGAAGGGATAATTAATCAGGCAGTTTTCCAATATACTCATCAAAGCCCATTTAATCAATGCAGCCTAAACCCTGCCTACCTGACATCTGTGATTATGATTTAATAATGTAGGAGTGGCTGCAGGAGGAGTCAGTGTGATAAAACCAAACATCTACAGTACAAATATTTTAGTCACATTTAGGCACAAATGTAACTCTTTCTACTAAAGGTAACTAAGTGGAAACTCAATTTTGATTAAATCAAAGCAAATCCAATTAAGAGTCAAAAGTGGAAACAGTAAGAACGCACTTTAGGTTAAAGTAAAGACACTTTTGGAGTCTAGTCAACTCACATCAGTGCCATCCCTTCCTGGTGGACCTGGGGGTCCTGGTGGCCCTGGCGCTCCTCTGGGGCCTGGCCTCTACAACACAAAATGTATCAAAATCATGCATTTGTCTCAGTAAGCACTCAGTGTTTCTTTGATGCAGGCACAACACAGTACAAATGTAGCTGTTGAAATAAATTATATGAGGTTGATCTGATTTGAGATGAAATGGATACAACAGAAAACGATAGCAAATGTTTATAGTTTGGCATCAACAGTAAGAAGATTCATAGGGAAATTTGTGCAAAGGTCTACACAGGAAAATATTAACAAAGTTAAATATTTCAGGCTAATCATAAATAAGTAACTGGGCATAAATCATCCAATGCACCTGCAAAACTGTGAAAACCAAAATACAAATAAGACGCGTAAAGACGCTTTAAATCTCTCCGTACGCACAAGAGGAAGAATACAAAGTTCTGTGAAAACGAAAAACGGCCAGTACTTCAGAGTTCTTCTAAACAAAATAAACTTATGTGACTGAGGTCTTTTTAAATGAGTTCCTGCTTTTGGCTCAGTCAGGGTCCCTGAATGAACAGAGGTGGCATTGTCCGCTGTGGCACTGATCTCCAATCCGCGCATTCCACAGGCTCGGGGAAAACATAACCCCACTTTATGAAATAGTGCGAAAGGCACAGCCACTTGCAGACGGTTAGGCCGATACAGTAGAGAAAGACGCCAGCAAAACCAAAAATACAAAATGCCATTCATATTTACTCAATTATACAAGAATAATACTTTCCATTTTAATGTAAAGCTAAAAGAAAATATTCAGAGAAAGAATCAGGTTTTAGGGCAAACAGTATGCAGATGCTAAACCAGTTGCACCAGAGAGCAACTCATCATCATTACCACCATCAACACAGGAGATAGTCGTTATCTGTAGTTGCATAAACTTGTTGCAATAAGTTCATAAGACGCATTCAAGTAAAAGCGCCTTACATCGTAACAGACATACTGCAGGTGGCTAAATGAAAAGAGGTATGCGGTACTTGATAACCGTTACCTGGGCTGATGATGACGATAAAAGCTGGAGCAGTAAGAGAACCCAAAGAGCAGAGAACACTGCCATGGCACAAACCCGAGTTTAAGCAGATAAGATCAAATCCACGGTTCCCGGTCCTCTCTCTCCCCCTCAGCGTCCGCAACGGAGCCTTCCTTAACCTCACGGCGCACAGCTCCTGAATGGTTTTCACTTGAGTTCCAGATAAACCCGAGCCTCCAGCAAATGGGTTGAACTTAATCTAGCGCACTGCACACAGTGATGAGAGGGATGAGGAGGAGTGGGACTGGTAAGGGAGGCAGCAAGAAGAGGGGAAACCCCTTCAGTCACCAAGGAAGTAGGCAGAGCAATGGTATCATGCGTTGACCAGTTACAAGCAGAACTAAAACACAAATCCTCCCTGTCTGGAAGGTAATTTGAGGTCTTTAGTGGCGCCATGTAGTACAGTGACTTATAAGGAAAATTCAGCAATTTAGGTTTGCATTATCATAAATTTGGGGGACTCACAAGACAGATTAAAATAAAAATAAAAAAAGTCACAATGGAAGCAGCAGTAGGTAGGTTTAGTCCCTGGCGCAGAATAAGCTCCAGAAATGCTGAATCCTACATTTCCCATAATGCAACTCAAGGCTTCTGGTTATCAGTTTACAATCCCAAGCTGAGACATACCCCTAAAGACATCAGTATAACGCCATCTGAGATATTCTCTAAGATCCTCCAGCACTGCACAGGACATAATGAGTAAAATTAACCTTAAAATAAAATGAACATGGGACACAAACACATAAATATCTTGACCATAAAAATCTATTTGAAGAAAAAAAACATACATTATGAAAAACAAGTCTAGAAAAGCCCCCAAAGCATATATTCACATCCTGTGTCATGGAGGACAAGCATCTTCAACAAAGCACTGTGTGGTCTGGAGTTGGATTGACCCAGCAGTCTCTTTAGCTTTACAAACAGTAGATTTATTGTTAAAAGCTGGCATGGACAATGCAACAACAAACAGCACTCACACTCCAACAGTATATGATTTTCTGTCTTTACTCACAACTCCAACTCACCACTGACCCTGAGCCCTGAACAAGATGTGCTGCATCAATTTACAACCCCAAATCAGAAAAAGCTGAGACAGTATGTAAAATCAAAATTAAAAAAGTGATTTGTAAATCCGGATAAGCAGAGGAAAATGGATGGATGGATTTGTAAATCATCTGTGTCCTGTATTACACTGAAAACAATACAGCAGCACATTATTCGATGTGAAACCTTGTCACTTTTATTCTCTGTTCAGAATAAACACTCACTTCTATTCTGATGCTGCAAAACATTCCAAAAAAGTTGGGACAGTAAAGCGTTTACCACGGTGTGTTGTTACCGTTCCTTTTCACAACACTTAAAAGACATTTAGGGACTGAGGACACCGAGTGATTCAATGTGTCAACTGTGATTTTGTCCCATTTCCCCTGCAAACAAGTCTTAAGGTGCACAACAGTCCTGGGTCTTTGTTGATGCAGTTTGTGTTTCAAAATGCGCCACATGTTCTCTACTGGGGAAAGGCCAGTCCAGCACTTGCACCCTTTTCTTCCACAGCCAGGCCTTGGTAATGTGTGCAGTATGAGGTTTATCCATGGGTGTCCCTGTAAAAGATGTCTTCTTGAAGGCAGCATATGTTGATCCAAAGTCTCTATGTATTTTTCAGCATTAATGGAGCCATCACAGAAGTGTAAGTTACCTTTGCCAAGGGCACTGACACAACCCCAGACCATGACACACTCTGGCTTTTGGACTTAAACTGTGTGATGGTCCATCCCAGATGCCTCAGGTCCCAGAGCAGTTGACTTCTGGACACTGTTGACACTGGGCTTCCTTTTGGCACAGTATAGTTTTAAGCTGCATTTGTGGATGTAACTACATATTGTAGTGCCTGACACAGGTGTACCAAAGTAATCTGGGCCCATGTGGTTATATCACTTATAGAAGAGTGACGGTTTTTGATGCAGTGCCATCTGAGGGACCAGAGAGCATGGCCATCCAGCTTATGCTTGTGCCCTTTACGCAGTGAAACCCCCCACATTCCTTGAATCTTTTAGTTATGTTCTGCACTGTAGTGGGTGACATATCCAATTCCCTTCCTAACATTGTTTTTAAACATTTAAATAATTTCTTCAAACTTACGTTTGACAATCCTCAGCCCATCTTCGCTCCTAAAGGGCTCGGCCTTTCCTGGATGCCACTTTTGTACCAAATCATGATGCAATCACCTGCTGACATCCCCTGTTTCAAATAGAAACATCATCTCATTGTTTTACCTCATTACTGGCCCTGAAATGCAGCCATCGCGCTTTCAATGTAATACAGGACACAGATGATTTACAAATCCCTATTTTCAATTTTGATTTTACATACAGTCCTGACTTCTTCTGCTGTGGGGTTGTAGAAGTTCAACATCTTTCTGCTGCGAGTCATATTTCACTGAGGCTTGGCCTGTTTGCTGCACTGGGAAGTCAAATAAAAGCTAACATCTACCAGAGTGTTATCCTGACAATTAAAATTTATAAACCATAACAAGACTGACATTGGCTAAACAGATTAATTTAATACAAGTTTGGAAAACATTAGAACTTTATTTTGTTTGTCAACAGCCAGGTATTTACTTGAGGAAAAACAAGTTACATATAAAGAATTCAGCACTCCTGCAAAATTATTACAATTTCATTACGTAAATACATTAACTTCAACAATTCATATTTAAAATCAAGTGCAAATATAAAAAAAATGCATCAATAAAATCACCCTGGCTTGTGAATGTTCATGGACTGCATCCATCTCAAACTAACATACACTGGACTTTAAATTATATCGGCTCTATTGAGAAGACATATACTGTACAATCAACCAGTCTTATCACATTTTTGGCGAGACCTTCAGTTGTTCAGACGTCTACTTCCCAAATCTGAACGAATACGCACAGACTGTGCAAAGTAACTTAAATATAACTTAGCTGGCATTCAGTCTTAAATCCACTGGAACAGTGGGGTCCAGCAGAAACACAAACCAGTACAGAATGTTTTACTAAAAACAGCCCAGAAAGAATAAAAGTTCTTCCAATTACTTACTTCCAGTGCAAAAAATTTGTTCAGTTGTGAAAATATTAACAAGTTAAAAATGCTGAAATCATTTCATTAACCTACGTACATTAATAACAGTATGTTTACTGTAGCAGAAATCTTAAATATTAGCTGCTCTTATTCATTATGACCTTAGGAGATAAGTCTGGCGACTGCGTATATCTTTGTCAGCAAATCCCATTAAAAACAGATGAATTTATCCAACTCCCAGTGGCCTTACTCCCCTCTGCTGTCTTCCAGTGTTGTTTGAAAATGATTAAACACATCGAACAAGTGACACTGTTGCACCAGGTGACATGTTCCTTCATTACAATGCAGAATGTAGTTTATTTTATGTTGAAGCTTCACACAGTCCTTCTGCTGTAAATATTCCCCAACCCACAGCTGGAAATAGCCCCCATCAGAAACACAATTTACTCCTGTTGGTGTGATGTTGGCAAAAGATGAACACAATATATTTTTGACCTGCTTTTAAAGAGTCACACCTTCATTAGGAACCGATGGATTTGGTGCTGAGTGGCACAGACAGGGCAGGGAAGCCATGTAGTGAGAGCCTGATTTCCACACTGTTACGTTTGGTCTTTAAGGGATTTGCTGAACAACAACAACAACAAGGATTTATTCATATACAGTATACCACCAGTCTTTATCCTTTAACAATATCAGGTTATCTTAAATAATATCTGATGGCCATGAAAAACTGAGTCACATCCAGTCCCACAGTTGGTGAATTAATCAATTCATAAACTCCTTCAAAGTTAAAAGAATTAAAAGCTAAACATCAAATATAGTAGAAATAAGGCCCAGAAAGTCTTCAAGTCCTACTCTGTCCTTATATTACAATTTTATTTAAGCTAAAATGAATGTATCTTCTTCAATCCTCCAGTTTATTCATGAACACCCCACATTTTGGTCTGAGCTTGGGGGGTTTGACTCTATAATCATATCCTCCGACTCATTCCCATTTGTCCGTTCATCTTCACATTTATCGCTGCTCCCCAATGACCCATTTGGTGCCAACACCTTTTGCTGTGATGCGTCTTCCTCTTCCTTTTTATCTAGCACTTGATTAAAATCAGTCCTTGGGATTTTCTCCTCCCTTTCCGAAGAAAGAGAGTTTAGGTGTTTATTAGTCTTAGGGATGGTTTGTGCTGATGGACTTGCTGGACCAGTGGCCTTATTAGCACCAGCCTTTTCTTCCATCTGCCCGCTGGTTGAGTCCTCAGCAGAGCCGTTGTTTGGCAGCTCCTTATCGTCTCTCTTCTTCTTCTGTGGTTTTTCAGTGTTTATGTCCCCATCTGTTGGCATTCTGGTGTCCGGTTCCTGGACGGTATCCATTGAGTTGCTGGTAAATGTGTGCTCGCTGTCCGCACTAGGCTCGGTTTTTGGCTTCGCAGTGTCAGGGGTGGGACATTGATCCATGTCATCAACATCATCTGTAGAGTCATTTCCATTCCCAAGAATTTCGTTGTTAGACTCAGCCTTTGCATTTCCATTTCCGACAATCTCAGCTTCTGGTATTGGCTCAGGCGATGCCTCAGACAGTTTGGCTTTGTCTTTACTTGGTGATTTATCAGTTTTTTTCTGAGTCTTTGTAACATTATCCACTCCATCCTCTTTTGGCTGCACAACTGCTTCACCATCTTTGCTTTTACCCTGTGAACAGACTTCATCCTTTCCATCTTCATTCCCAACAGTGTCTGGTCTTTTCTCTGCCTTCTTAAATTGCTTCAGAATCTTCCTGGGACACCACACAAACTTATCCTTTGGCTCAAAGTTAAGGTAGGCAAAGCGCACAAGCTCCTGGCGTTTCTGCTTGTCCAGCACAGCAAACAGGAAGTAGTCGAGCACACTGCGTTTAACACTGCTAAGGGTCTTCTTGACCAGAGTCTCTTCCAGAAAGAAGCGCACGAGTGGGGCCTGGTAGTGCTCAAATCCCAATTCCCCAAGGCTCTTCAGGATGCGAGTGATGCGCAGGTTGTTGTGCATATTCCTGCCAGAGATGAGACAGTTGAAGCTGAAGTTTCAAACAAAAAGGTACATACTGCAGAAGTTACTTGTATGAGAAAATTTTATATTTACCGCTCCAGGTTTCCAAAGCGCTCCTTCCAGTTATCTGCACGCATCACTTCCCCTGTCTCTTTGTTGACCAAACGGATGCCATAGAAACCCAACATGAGCTCATAGGATTCAACTAGTCTTCTCTTGGCATCCACATTCTTCTTAAAGGCCTGAGGAACATATAGAGTGGACAAAAAAAAAAAAAAAAAATCCTGACAATTATGAGATTAAAATATTCAGGTTAATAAATGGTACTGTTGGTTGATAACCAGTGTGGTTGCCTTTGTCTTCCAATTCATGAAAAAGGTCGACTGGTAGGTAGTAGGTCAGACTGATAAGGTCAGTAATTGGGAAATTTTGTGTTTTGTAGAGAAATTACTCTCCACTGTGACTTCACATATACAGTCATTCAATAAAGACATGAAAGATCATGACTGTTTTTATCAGCTCAGAAATATTGTGTCTATTCATATTTGTGACTTTGGTGAAGATCTGATCGCATCTCATGAACAATTTATGCTGGAAACCAGGAACCTGAAAACTTGTGACTGCACAGTGGAGGATGTTAAATGTAAAATGTGCTAGAGGCCTTCATGAAAACTGCAGAACTGCTACTAAATTAATGCTAAGGATGTTGGAAAATGTCATAATACAAAACAGTATTTTTAACACAGTGTTAGTTTTCTTTTAATGAGAGGACATACAGCTGTCTTAAACAAACACACATATCACAACACTGATGATTTTAACTTTTGTAACTTGCTTTGCAAAGAATTTATTGGCTGAAATTACCATTTTACAGAAGCTATGGCTGCTGTTCTGGTTTTTGGTTGATTCAACAAGGTATGTGGAGCCTTTCAAATATAACACTCATCTCTAACCAAAGCATCAGAAATACAATGGTGCATTGATTCTGGCTTTGCACTTACCAGATATGACTTTTGTGGCATCAAAACAAATCTTCTACTTTCACCTGTTCCTGTTAGGGGTCGTTACAGCAAATCATCTGTTTCCACCTAACTCTATCCTCGCCATCCTCTACTCTCACCCCAGTTAACTTCATGTCTGCCTCCTCTCCTTTGACCAACAGCAGTCCAATTTCCACCAACACCCTGTAGGTCAACAGCACTGGTGGCGGTCTTTGTTAACCCTCGACCGATCCTGTATGGTATTCACACTGACAATTCACATGTTTAATTTTGGCACGTTTTTATGCCGGATGCCCTTCCTGACGCAACCCTCTCTATTTATCCAGGCTTGGGACCGGCAAAGAGGTCACTGTGGCCAAATAAATTCAATGTGTTGCTTTATATTGTGGCAGCCAACTTCTGCACAATAAACTGTTTAGTCGAGTATTCACTTAAAGACTTTCCTATGATAACACTTACCTCAATTTCCTTCTTGGTGAGCTCTGAAGCCATGTAATTAACCCCTGGTTCTCGCAGTGGAAACAACCTTACAATGGCAGAGAAATGTCACAAAACCAATTAAGATATAACGAAACTCAGCTCTAATTTAATAAAAACAATACCGGCTCTCTTGATAACTGTTCATAAACCCAGCATTAAGTATTTTCTTGATGATTCATCTTATAAAAACATGACATACAGCCCATCTCAGGTGCCCCGTTATTTCATGCTATTAATAAACACTATAGAATAAGCAAACAAAACTCAACAGTGTAAACAGTGTTGGGTATGGGCATTACTAGAAGTATGTGTCAATGTAATTATTGCTTGTTTCATGGCAAACCTTTATGTATGTTATGGTTTTGGGACTCGCTTCTTGTGGTTGTGCTTTTATTTTGTCTGTTTCCTGTTCTGTGTCACCTCCCCTGCCCCAGTTTTACCTTGGTTTCTAACTCATTGTTTCTACCTGCTGCTCGTTATCCTCTGGTCTCCTGCCCATATGTTCTCCTCCTTTACCTCAGTCACTAGCTAGTTCATTCCACTATACATCATATTCTGTCCCTTTATGTCTTGTGTCTTCTGTTCAATTTTCCTGCTTAGCTGTCCTTGGATCTTTTTACTTTGCCTCTTGTTGGACTTTTTGACTTTTCTGCCATCGAGGATTCCTGGTTTGTTCCTCTGTTTGTTAGTGTGTTTTTTGGATTTGTTACCTAGCTCCTGGGCTGAACTGTTTAGTTGTGGTTTGACTCCTTTAGTTATCTTTTGTCTGGTTGAGTTTTGTTGTGGTTTTTCCTTTTGTCTCTCTGTTCCTTATCCTTCATTATAGACTATTAAGAACTCAGTCTTAGACTGTGTCTGCAAACTTAATTGCTCCACAGGGTTCATTTACTTTCTTCTTCTTTTCCAAAAATCAACTCCAAATAACAATTTGCACATCAAGGGCCAAACTTTTGCATAGACATAGAATTGTAAAACCTACATACTGTGTAGTATGGAATTGGAACACAGCTGCTGTTTGGTAACTTGTGTACACTCCTTATTTAAGCAGGTGTGTAACAGGCTATATATATATATAAGGTCATCAGGGTTTCAAAAATAAGACGACACTGGCTGCATCACTTCAGCCAAAACACACAACCCAAGACTTAAATAATACATACCACTGAATGTATGAGTGAACTCTTTCTAGTCTTTTGTAGTCATTTTTCCATTCCTTAAGGAATGAGTCAATGTAGACATCTGTGTTGGATGAGGAAAAAAGCAGAATGTCATCACACTGATAACTTTCCCAGAAACTTTGAATATATTGTAAGACCATCTAAATATGTTACCATCAGGAGCAGAGGGGAATTTGTTGAGATAAAACTGCAAATTGTTCATTTTGTCTTCAGAGCACTCATCATCTGTAAGATTCTGTAAAAAAAAAAAGAGCATAATTTGATCCTTGTTAGTTGTAATGGACAAGATGGACCTTACTGCTGATACTTAGCTGTTACTTACTGGGTAGCCTCTTCTGTAGTTCTGCATGTCCTTTGCTGCCCTTATGTTTCTGGGTGGATGATGCCACTGCAAGTGAAAGTGAAATTAACCTTAAACAAATGCCGCAACGATGAGAATGTGGGAGAATAACATTACTGCCAGAGCTGATGCATCCCAATTTAAAGAAACAAGTCGTGTGATCATCACTGATTCCACGACCTGTACCGGTTCTGACAATAAAATCTGGCATAACGTTATGCAAGTTGGTTTATATAAGGCCAAGCAAATATGTTCATACTATCGTTAAAAAAAAACAACTCAAGACTTGATAAACGTTCATAATTTTAACTACGGATTGCAAACCGTGAGTAGTAGCAGTGAGTGGCTTAACACAGATATTTAAACAAGCATTTTATAACTCCTCAAAAGCGAGCTAACATCAGCGGCTAGCTAGGTTAACAGTTAGCTAGCCCCAACTTGTGACTGTCATGTATTACATGTGTAGTACATGATAGCTAACGGTTAGCAAGCCTGAAGCAGGGAGGCGTAAAGCTAACATTAGCTTTCCAGTCATGGCAGTAATGCAAACGTCTGGCCAGGTGCCAGAGCAGTGACTTACAAGTCATCATATTCCACACCATGACATTATTTAGACAGTTTATATTTTGGCCAAGTAATGACGAATGCACGTACAGGTACCAAACCCCAACCAGATTTGTTTTTGTCTTGACTTGACCGACGCGCTTGGCTCTCTCCGGCCGGGTCGTCTCCATCACTCTCTGTGTCCCAGGTCGAGTCGTAATCAAAAACACAATCCTCCTCCATTATAAAAACAAAGCTGTTATGTGACTAGCTAAAGCTAAAGCCCGTTTTAACACGATAAACGAGCATGAATCAAGTTACACTTGCATGTTCCGGTTAGACGGGCACGGCCCTAACCATCCGTCTTTACACTCTACCATCGTCAGACAGCCGCACCGTTGGCGGCTGCAGTGCTGATGCTGCGTTCAGGTGCTCTGTTTAAGTCGCAGTTGTCTTGAATAACTCTATTTGATGCACACTTAGTTTGCCATGGTTTCCTTTGGTAAATAAATTCTTTTTTGTGTCAGTTTACGAGTATAAAACCCTACACCCGTATTGTTGAGCTGTTGCCTCACAGGATCGCCATATAGTTAGAGTTTAAGGTAAGGAAATAAAGGAAGATGCACGAGAATAATGTTGATAGGGGTTGATAGAGCTGACCTCGGAGGCATTTGGTCCCCTTTCGCTTAAACACACTGTCTTGACAACTGTTATTACACACACACACATAATATATATACATATATTGCATAACATTGCGCTGTTATTTGGTATTTAATGAGGTTAAGGTGCTTTCTATTGGACAATTCGATTTTCCGACAGACAGGAAGGCAGCACACTTGCGTTGTTGGCAGCTTATCTTAGGTGCTGGAAAACACTTTCTCTTCATTCTTATACAGTATAACAGAAGGCAATAGTAATGCTATGATAGATGTATTCCTAACTAATAAATGAACAAATTAAACATTAACATATTATGAAGTACCAAGAGAACTATTTTATTAACACGGATTTTAATGTCTCCTTTAAGTAGTATATCTGTTCAAGTTAAATTAATGTCAGTGGCTTAACTGGCTTGACAGGCAATTTCATTTTGGCCCACTCAGCTGTCCAACCACCATAACTGTATAAATGGTTCTAGTCTCACCAGTGGCCATGGAGGAATTATGAAACAGTGGGCACCTAGGCACAGACATGTAAAAGGACCCACCCTCCTACATAGAGACAACACCCAAGGCTGAAAACGAATTTCATTAAAGATGTTTTGCATTTCTTTGTAGTCAACAAGATGCACAATGAGCCTCAACCAAGGGCATTGCACTAAATGCTCTCCTACAAACATTGAAAGCAAAGATCTGATTATTTGTATAAGAAGGCCAGCCTTCAAAGCACCACATAAAATGAAGCAAGTTTGCTGCAGGCAGCTCGTGACTGGAGAATGGACATGGACTACCAATGTTGAGATGATGGGGATGAGAGGTCACTCTCTCCAAGAAGTAATCAAGTCCTTGTCAAATGCAACAGAAAACAGCAGCAATTTGATTTGGATAAAAAGGAGATGACAACTGGGCTGCCAGATGGATATAGGAGCGTATAGAACTGAAGTGGGTGTACCTGGGATGCCAGGTATCACCGCTGAGCCCTCTGAGACATTGTAAAAAAGGATGGTGCTCATCTCATGTCCCTGATGACATACCTACCACCAGTCTAATCCCACTAGCAAGCTATTACATGGATTTAAACATCAAGTCCTATTAGCTCCACTAGATTTACACAGCATTGTTTTGACGTTGAGATATTTCCCATTAATATAATCAATATACTGTTTCCATGTTAGTTTATGATCAGTCAAAACCCCTGGGAATTTTGTTTCAAAAACTACTTCAATTTCAACATCACATATTTTTAATTTAATATCCCCATCAATTTCCTTTTGATTTCCAAAGACCATACACTTGGGTTTCTTAATATTGAGAAACTATTTAACATCAAAACAAGTTTTGAGAATTTCCAGCTCCCTTTCAGTAATATACAAAAGTGTGTCCCTTAATTTTGTGTTCCCTGATTTGTTGTGTAAATTCTTGCCTATTTATGTTCAAGTGTTGGTTTATTCTCCCAAGTCAGTCTCACTTATTTTATGAATTTTCTTAGTTCTGTGCGATTTGTGTTGTGAGCCGACCTAGCCAGCCATTATTATTACTAGCTTTGTCAGCCATCACTCAGCTGTGTTGTCTTTAGTCTGTCATTTTCCTGCACTTTTATTCTTGTTAGTCATGTTCCTGCCATTGTCGAGTTGGTCAAGTCTCTCATGCCACCTCTTTTTCTTGCTCCTGCTGATGTTATTAGTTCTCCCTCTGTCCCAAGTCCTGACTTTCCACTTTATGACACAAGAAGCAAAAGAACAGCTATGAATTACATTTGAAGAGAGATCCTATTCACTACTGAAAAGGTTGTAATTAGTAAAATGGTGGCACGAGAATGTTATATTTTCATGGATGATGCATTTCTGTTTTATGACCTTAAGAGTCATTGCAGCCATTCACACCAAAATTCATGTTCTCATTCTCTCTTTTTATATCCCCCACACCCCCAGCACACGTCCACTTTATTTAAAACCTAGTCAGAGTTTTCATTAGAGGTGTCTTACACTGATATAACAACTACAGCATGGATTCAGTTTTCATACTTTAAAGACTCAACACGAAGAAGAATTCAGAGGTGTGAATGTATGAGACAATGATGTCCACCTTCAGTAGCTGGACAGATGTGTTTACACAGTACATGACAGTATTTCACCAGAAATAGGATTATGTATTATCACAGGGGATTTAGTGTTGAATGGCCTCTGGTGTGGGTTTCTATTCTTGGTCTTAGTTACTGTGGAAACCAGAAAGCTCTGCAGGCATCCAGTGTTTGCTGTAACTATTTAGTGCCTCTGCTTCATAAAGTGGACTCTTTGCCTTATTTTTGGTGAGTTCAGCAGAGATGGATTGATGCTGTTAATATATAGAGAGACTGTAATAATTGTGTAGACTTAGAATGGCTTATATGGATTCAGTGACATGAAGACCAGCTTATTACTTTACCCCCCTTGAAATGATGAGCCTCCTGCTTTTATAGTTTATCTGCTTTTGTGTGCAAAGTCCCTCCCTAGTTGTTAATAACTACTGACTGGTTTCAAAACAATTAACCAGATCAGATTGCACTATTAATACTTCAGGGCTAAAACTATTATTAAAACTCTAGGAATGTCTTAACTAGTAATGATTTTAGTCAGCTGTAAATCAGTAGGAGAGAATGTGTAGCACTGCTCAGTCTAAAGCAGTCAACTATGCAGACAGTGTCACTGTAGCATCAGGAGCGGTAACATGCTCTAACTCCCTGTAATACAGTATATTAAACTGCTGGTTCCTTGTGAATGTAAGATTTACTTTGTCTTATTTATATTTGGAGAAGCAGGTTTGCGCACTAGAATCAGTGGGGAATATTTGATTATGCCAACCTAACAAGCTGCAAATAGAGACAACAGAACCACATTGTGGGTACTGCTGTTTACAGTGCACGTCTGTATTTGGTTGTCTTTTCTGTATTTGTAGTTTTTTTTTCTGAGCCTGTGTTGGTGAACCTGTTTTCTTAATTTGCAGTGTTTATTTTGCTTTTGGGGCCACTCTTTCTTTCCGTCTGTCTTGGTGGTAAACTTCTGAGATTTTCTTTACCATTGGTACTATATAACCATGAATTTTTAATTTCCTAGATCTCAGGATATTGCAGGTGATGTTTGGCTTCAGTTTCCATCTTATCCATCTAGGGTCATGGGGGTGCTGGAGCCAATCCCAACTGGCACTGGGCGAGAGGCAGGGACCACCCTGGACAGGTTGCCAACAACCAAACACACCCACACTCACTCCTACAGGCAATTTAGTTGCCATTCAACCTAAGCTGCATATCTTTGAACTGCGGAAGGAAGCCGGAGGACCTGGAGGGAAGAGCAATCACATACACTGTTGAAATGCTGAGGATTTATTTGCTGACAAGGAAAGGAAACAGCAGTCTTTTCTTTTTAACCAATTGCAAGAACAAAGTACAGAAAAAGAATTGGTACCGACCTTTTTTCTATAGAAGACTTAAATATGAAGAGAAACACAAAGCTTTTCTACACAGCTACTGTGCATGTGGAGACTAGCTGACCTGTCAACAGCATGGCAGGATATGACGTAAGAGATCTGATGAGTTCTTACAGACTCACTTGTCACCATGTGTTCCAAATATACCTGGTATCTAATGTGTACAGTACAAAGTAGACAGGCCTCTGGGTGTTGCACCACAGCACTGATTATAACAGTCAGCAACACATCTGAGAGGATAATCCTTTCTCTTGCTTGTCTAATATTGCACTGTCTTACCTGATATGCTCTTCATTGACGGTAACTACTTTTCTATAGTGACAGGTAGAACAGTTTTACTCATGGTCTCTCGCTGTGCTTCCTGTAGTGCAACTATTTCTGAAGAGACTAATTTTACACCCAGAAAGCACACAGTGTGAGTGTGAAGAGAGCTGTCAAGTCATTACTTTTGCAAGCTACAGTACTTGTTGAAATTTGGCCATAAATGCAAACTCATATTCTATTCTGCATTAGAATAGCTGTATTTGTGAGGTACCGTGTAGCAAATTGTTGATTGTTACTAGTAGAATTTTTTAAAAAGTCAAACAAAGTCCATTTAGTAGTCATTCTTAAGCTTTCTTTATTGCAAATTTGTGTAGAGCTACATGTTAAACACATCCACATTCTATTTTAAAAACTTGTAATACTTGTTCTCTTCCTACACATTTGATATACTTGGTTCGTGGATGAATGTGACACATTTTCTTGTCTCTTCTCAACGATTGCTTTGATACATATACAGTAGGCAATGTATTATACTGTAACATGACACCATAGCCTCCTTGTCCCTTTTACATATTTAATAGGATCTATAAAGAAATGTAGTGAAGTATATAAAAACAGTATGAATTGTTTTTAAGTCGTTTTTCTGCTCCCACCAGAAACATTTCCCGTACTGAGACTACCCGGGCCCAATACACATTTGTGTTTCCATTGCACAATGAGAATGTTGCTCTTGCACAATATGTTATGGTGGCGTCTTCTGTGCTACCCAAACATATATTGACAGTAGTTGCACAACAGAGCAAACATGGAGTTGGTAAACATAACTATTGTACTGGCTTCCTTTTATTTCTTCATAATTTGCATAATTTGCTGCCATCTCCTTCTTCTTTCTTTCTTTTTTTTTAAAGAGTTTAGGTCTCCTTCACTTCCAGTTTCTCCAGTTTTCCAAGCTTTCCTGCCAGCCAGAATGTAGTGACGTAGATAGCTAGGTTGGGGCAGAGCAGCAAGCTTTGAGGCTTGCTTCCAAGCAGCGCCAGATATCCTGCTTTTCAGCCTGGTTTCAGCCCAGGCATGGTCTGTTTCTAAGACAAATGAAACATGCAAACCCTATAAATTTGTGACATGGCAACATTTGTTGTATTGCGGTCCAGTGTCCTTCCTCAGCCTGACCACATACACTGAGGAGGACTTCTGCTATATGAGGACAGTGTAGAAATAAAACAGGATTTGTGTAGCGTAAATAAAAACAATGAAGCAGTATCTTCAGTGCCAGAATTTTATGTTCCAGAATTTAATAGAATAAGTATTACAATTACATCCGAAGAAGCAAGAGGCATTTTGAGCTAAAGAGATAAAGTTAGCATTACCATAATCCACTTCATTTGTTTGCATTGTTCCTTGTAAATCTCATGCACCCAAGAGAGCACAGAACAGAGAGAGAGACAGAGCAAAAATCAAATCAGTGATGCATCTCTTTGAGTCTAAATACATATCCTTAAGCCCAGGCCCGATGGGAATTGATGGGCCTCACTGCTCTGTTTCATGTCCTCGGGCTTTGAAAAGGCTGTGAATACAAGCTGTGTGGATTGATGGGTGGCTGTTAGGGCTCCAGGTTCCTCTCTTATCAGCTAAGATGTAATTGATTTATGGAGAGCTGGTTTGAATCACAACGGGGATGTAAGTGTGCTGATTTAGTCACTTAACACAAAAACAGGGCCACCAAAAGCAGGTTGCTCTGTTTGAGAGGAACAAAAGACCTCACATTAATCCCCTTCCAATACCCTGTTGGTGCTGCTAATACCCACTGTGACACAGGGAGGATGCTTCTCTCTGGTTATTATGTGATACAGCTGTGATACTCCCTTTCTCTCTCTTTTTATATTTGACAAGAAAAATTCAGCCTAACTAATGATACTTATTGTTGTGATGCAGTGAATGAGGGTCCGCATCGTTATGCTTAACATATTAGCTTCAACCTCACTGACTGTGCCTTTGGTAAAAGTAACCATGGCAACTAGTATCACCTACAGTAGGTTTCCAGAAGCAACACCATTTATTTAGCCACTGTACGTGCATGCATCACTTCTTGACTGTGCAGGGACACACATAAATGCACACAGATAGGGATCTCATACCAGTCACTGTTTATCATATCTGCTGGTTTACTTTGAATTTAAACTCTACTCACTAGGTGTGCATGTGTACAGTGTGCATGTATGTGTACATTGTATGTACATATTCATATGTATATTAGGTTGGTAGGTCTATTTTATTAGACCCTTTCCATAATTTTGCCATTGACTTTTGATTTAAAATGTTCTCTGTTCACATATGTTTTATTTGTTTATTGTTTTGTAAAGGACTTTGAAATGATTGGTTTTATGTGCTACTCCATGTCACCATATGTCTATGTTGTTATTGATATTAAGCTGTAACGAAATTACATTTAACACCTGATGACATCATTATAAATTCTCAAAAAGATTTTGTCTCAGCTAAAATTGGCTTCACCCATTTTACACATGGTAACTGTTATATGCTGTAGAGTCTACTGGATTCCTGAGTGGATTTCTTGCTGACATAAACACAGACAACTAAATAACAGTCCTTTTATTTAGCTTTCAACATGTTGCCTCGTCATTAGAACTTCAGATCTACAAACTCGGTTAGACTGTGTAATGTGCCAATGTGCGTGTAAGCAGTCAAGCAAAACTAGCTACTGTATATCTACTGTATATAGCACATTGATTTCCAGGGCACATACAGTATGTTTGTAGTGCGTGAAGCCTGGTTTTCCATATTCTTCAGCATGTGAATCTCTCCACCTATTATATGCATAGACATGCATTTTTTTAACAAGGCTGCTTCGAAGGTGAACCTGTCCATAGTGCTCAACCCTCCTTCTCAGGTTGGTTTCTGCGGGGTCGAGTCGGGGCTTTGCTCACAGATATGATAAACCTGAACATCGGTGCGAAAGCTTACTATGATTAAATTACACAGGCGATGTTATACTGCACGGATTTTTGTCGGAGATTATTGGTTTGCGCATGCGAAGAGACGAGCTGAGGCGACTTAGACCGTGAAGCTTCGATCCTTCTCAATGCGCTCAGCAGGACATGCATGTTTTTTTTTTTACATTAATAAGAAATTTTAATCTGGTATTACAGAGCTTTGTGTTTTATTTTTCTACACGTCTCTCCTGCTGCCACGTTTCACGCAACAGGCTGCAACACCTATGTGGAGTATAAGCTGAAGAACAGTACCACCTGTAACTGCACATCTGCTACTTTCATGCCGACTCCGAAGATGAAGAAGCAAAACGTCCGGACCCTGTCGCTCATTCTCTGCATGTTCTCCTACTTGCTGGTCGGCGCCGCGGTGTTTGACGCGCTGGAATCCGAGTCGGAGAACTCCCGCAGGCGCATCTTGGAGCAGAAACGCAACGAGATGAGGAAGAAGTACCGCTTTTCCGAGGACGACTACCGCGAAATCGAGCGAGTGGTGCTGCAAGCAGAGCCCCATCGCGCCGGAAGACAGTGGAAATTTGCTGGCTCTTTTTACTTTGCCATAACAGTCATCACTACCATCGGTAGGTTAATGTAATGCAGACGTCCAGGTTATTTAGTTCTACACCCAGTTGATGTGGTATTTACAGTGGAGCATTTTATACAACTATTTTCTAAATGAATGCAACATTTAAGTCTTCTTTTAATTATAGACAAAAGACAGAAACAGACAATTTGTCCTTGCTTTGCCATTCAAGAGTTGCTACAGTATGCATCACAGTGTTCCTCTAATTTCTATTTCTCTGCATTAAGGTTATGGTCATGCAGCACCAGGCACAGATGCAGGAAAGGTCTTCTGCATGTTCTATGCTGTACTGGGCATTCCCCTCACTTTGGTCATGTTCCAGAGTCTGGGGGAAAGGATGAACACATTTGTCCGCTTTCTCCTACATAAGATGAAGCAGTGCCTGGGCTTTCGATGCACTGAGGTATCCATGGAGAACATGGTTTTGGTGGGCTTCCTGTCCTGCATTGGAACACTGTGTGTAGGAGCTGCAGCCTTCTCTCACTTTGAGGGATGGAGCTTCTTCCATGCTTACTACTATTGTTTCATCACACTCACCACTATTGGCTTTGGGGACTTTGTGGCCCTGCAGAAAAAGGAGGACCTCCAGGAGAAAACCCCCTATGTGGCATTCAGCTTCACATACATCCTGGTGGGGCTAACTGTTATTGGGGCCTTCCTTAATTTAGTGGTGCTTCGTTTTCTCACTATGAACTCTGAAGATGAGAGGAGAGATGCTAAAGAGAGGGCATCATTGAAGAGGGACAGGGGCCTTTTGGATGGGGCTCTGGGTCTCCAGAGTAGAGATCGACACAGACAGAGAAACAGAAGCAACATGCTGCACAGTCGCAGCCACAGTACGCTCTCCCTCCCAATGCAGGAAGGAACCAGCCGCACCAACCTCATCACTTCCCCAGCAGAGGATCAGCAGAGGCGAAGACGACCCAGCAGATGCAGGCTGCATTTTCAGATCAAGGCAGGCAAAAGAAAACCGGAGTCAAGCCTCAGCTCCCTCTGTTCTTGTATGTGCTACCGCTTGGGGATTTGTGATAGTCCTCCTATGCCCCACAGTGAGCATCATGGCTGCCCTATCAATTCTGTCTATTACAACTCAGTCTCCTATAGGATCCAGGGCGGCTCGCCAGGTTCCAGGGCCAACACTGGACTGTCTTCCCCAGGAAGCACGCTCTCACCTGGCCATAGCTTCAGAGAGTTCTCTCGTTCAAGGAGAAAGTCAGTGTAAAGAGCCCTACAGTGAAGGAACGTGTTTGCACTGACTGTAAACAGTATTTCAGTGACACCATATATTGTGTTACACATCCTTTATGCATGTCAGAAGACAACGACTCTGTTAACTGAGTAGTTTGCGTGTTGTGACTATTTTTTTGTAAAGTAAGGATGAGGCTTCTTTTTCTTTTGCCATGACATTATTTATGTTAGTGATTCTGCTGTTTTCCTCGCATGTTAGCCAAAGTGCATGCTAACAGAATGTATAGCACACAATGTAAATGCATGACTGCTATGTAAAGATGTAAAGAGTTGGGCTTTTATTATACAATCTGATCAAAAAGTATTTTGGATATAGTGCTTACTAATGACTGCACGACGGGGTTAGTGAAAGTACATGAATGAGCTCAGTGGACTGTCTCCTGCTTTAGACAAAACCCTAAACTTTTCATGCCATAAATATATGATGTCATTATACTTTTATATTTAAACAAAGCCTTAACAGAACTTTGGACACGCACATGAGATATGTGGCTTCTTAGTTCAGTTAATTTTAATAAACCCTTTTCTGTTTATTACAACTCCTCCTGCAGGATCCAGGGCCAACAATGAACTGTCTTCCTCAGGAAGCACGCACTCATCTGGCCAGAGCTTATAGTGCATCTTAGATCCTTTAGGTATTATTATTGGGGGGGTCAGAATAACTTTTCTTTGCATTTCTCAGCACTGATGCACTCTTATATCAAATATTAAGCTTGTTCTGTGACTGACAAATGTAATGGATGTAGCACACATTCTGTATGTAGCAGGTTGCTAATGAACTTACCACAGTCCTGGAAAAACTGTTCTTTTTCATCCAGGGAGGTGTTATTTCTGCCTAATCTGGGTTTGTAGTCAGATTCAGTGTGAGTCTCTTACAGTATTGTTTTATTAAACCAAAAAAAGGGGCCAATAAATGTGTGTTTTTTGCTGAGTGATTTAACAAATGAAATCAAATTTGTATGATGTTTATCAGCCCTTTTGTGTTCAGTCATCTTCTTCTGTTGTGTTTGTGTTTTATGTAGTGGGAGTCCTTTGTTAAAAATAGCCTAATTTCTACTTACTTCATTTTTCAAAAATCGCAGGTTGAGTGGTACATAAGAAAAAGGATGCCAGAATTTGGGTTAATAATGCTACTATTAGTAATATTATAATACAAATGATGGTGACTAACTGACTTATAGTAGGTCAAGTGTTTATTGTCATATGCACAGTGAGGAAACCTGTTTCCGTGTACAATGAAATTCTTACTTTGCTGTCCACACGAATGTCACACAATATAAATGAAATATAACGCAGATGCATAGGTAACACAAAATCTAAATGTCAAGATCTAAGGCTCTGTAAAACAGCCGATGAGAGAAGCATAATAAAATACAACAAGAACACAATATAATGAAGAGTGAATGTATGCTACATGGAGCTGTGTGTGCAAATAGTCAGCAGTGATTATGTACACAGTACAGGTGGAATTATATAAGATAGTTCCTGGGTCAGCTGTTTAGTACATCTTAAATCAAGGAAGCATCCATTTGGACTCATCCAGGAGAACAGTACCCCCATCAATATGGCATGTGGGGTTGCTGAATAGTTTGCTGAGGATGACAGTGATGTGAATCATATGCTGTGGTCTTCACCACAGCAGTTACCACATCTCAACCCAATTAAACACCTATGGGAAATTTCGGAGCAATGTGTTATACAGCGTCTGCACCACCACCATCAAAACACCAAATGAGGGAATATCTTTTGGATGAATGGTGTTCATCCCTCTCAGTGCCAAGGTGCGTTGCAGGTGCCACATGGCCCAACACCACCTTGATTTGTATACATATATATATGCATGAGTACAGTATGTGTGTATATAGTATGTGTCCTGGACTTGCCTGTTGATTAAGGTGCATACTTTTGTCTATAGGCTGAAATCCAGCCTAGAAATCTTCATTGTACTACCTAACTCTCCTGTGTATCCCTGCCTATCTGGCACATAAACTAAATACCAGAATGGCAACAAACAAAAAAATAGAAAATAATGCCTCCATTCTCAAGTGCAGTGGCCAAAACACCACACCTCCTCCACTGTAAAATCACATCATGCGTGTTACGTCTGCGCATTGATATTTTAAAAACTCGTTTTCAGTTTAGAATGAGGAAAAGAAATAATGGAGGCTTTACATAAGTGTCCCCGAGCATACATTTCAAGCCATCTGTTAATCTGCTGGAATAGCAGGCTGCTTTACATATAAATGTAAAACTGATTGGGCAATAGAATGTGAAATGGTGATTGGTTATGAAATGCCATCTGCTCTGGCTGCTTGGTGGTACAGGAACCTTTACTCTCTTTCTTACGCTGTCACATCACATGCTTTAATTAGGAACCTTTCTTTTACTGGATGCAACAAGTGAGTTTATACAAAGCGTTTGTTCTCTGCCGTGAAAGGATTTTCATTATTTTGTATGATCTCATGACAGAGGAAAAGGAGGAGAATTAGGATACAATTACTTTGACAAGGGGGCCCTCTTCAGGGGAGAATGTTTTGGGGCTATTTGAAGAAAGGAAAAGTCACTTAGAGAAATGTGAAACCTTTTGCCACTAGAGGGCAGTATATGTACATTCAGCAGTAGTAAGATGGCTTGTGTGATTTGATTTAAGTATTATATCAACATATATATTAAAATAACACACATAATGTCATTGCTATTTTATTATTTTTTAATTTTTTTTAATTTTTTTTTTTTTTTACAGAAAACCAGTTTTTGCCTCCAGCCCTCTGTGGACAGGTGGAACTAGAAGATTTTAAGGGTCCACAAAAGTTTAAATTTGGGACCTTGTTAAGGGCCAGTTTACCTCTGGGTCCTGGTCATTACCAAAATAGTTTACAAATACAAAATAAGCAGTATATAAGTCAGGTCAGTTTTATTAATACAACCCAGTACAGCAACTCACAAATTTTACAATCTAGTATACAATGCCCTCTAAACTTAGACCCTTGAATCAGATTGCTAAAAACGTCTCCATAAACTTTAATGCGGAAAAATGAAAGAAACCTCAGGCAGAGCAACAGAAGAGGAATAACTTTTCTAGGATGCACAGATGAACAGTAGCTGTGTACAGAATAAAAAAATAATTGCAGTATGAAAAGTCAAGACAACAGTATTGCTACCAAACAGTCAGAACCAGAGCTAGGTGACCTCCTCTCCAACATGGAGACCAGGGAAGAGATCAAATCACACACACACACACACACTAGGCAAAACTCAAGCTCCACTTCACACTTTGGAAAAAAAAAACCATACACACAGAATGAGAGAGAGACAAGAAGATGATAATCGGTCAGTCCTTTTTACTATTGCCTGTTAATTACTCTGCAAATGTTTACAGGGTGAACTGTCAGAACTAAGGAAGCGATTGCTCTATGTGTGCCCACGTTATGTGCTCAGAATGTGATCTCACACGAGACAGATTAGTTTCTTGGGGACTGATTTTATTGACTCTATTATCAATACTCATAACAAGGCTCTGTGTTGTAAGCATTGATCTGACCAGCCATAGCTGAAAGAAAATTACACTGATCCCATTTTCTGAGATTCAGTAATTCAGGCTGAAATCTCATCTTGTGGCAGAGGACCCGCTGGTTTTGGATGATTTCTCTGAGTGTGCTGCTGTACTGAATGCTTATATTATCCAGAGACCCTGTTCTCATTCACTGGCCTTGTTGCTTTAATTTCCTTAAATAGTCAATATCTGTCAAATCAACATCTGTAGCCATAATTTTAAATACAAATTAGGCTACATTGCTTGTACTGAACATGTTGATTGAAATATTAATTTTCTGAGAATATCCAACAAACAGCCTGAGTGGCACAGGGAACGTATTGGCACAAAATCAGGCCACAATTAGTTTGACATTGATGGATTGCAGCAAATGCATACTGTGGATGATCACGTCACATATTAATCTCATTTGGATGTCCTTGGATAAGAGGTTTGGATTAACAAAGACGAGTCACAATGCAGAGTAATACCAGTTAAAATATATATTACCTTTGCAACATTTTCCATTATATCCAAAAATCTGAATTCATCCTAATGGAGACACGCTGAAGTGAAGAGAGGTGAACTTTCTTTTCCAAAACATTAGTTAAATATAAACCCATGAAATCCCCCCTGGTGACCAAAGATTACCTTTATCTCATGCAGCCATTTTTTAATCTGCCCAAACAATTTCAGATTTTTCAAGGGTTTTTTTGTGCCCAAGAACATGGATCAAAGTAAAAGGGGTTACATCTCTGGCTAAAATGAATAATCTTGAAAGAGATTATTAAAATGGAGACTCATCTAAATGGGAGCTGTTGCTACTGTAGTACTCTGTGGAAACTCTTCTGAGGGTTACTGCAAATTAATCTGAAATATAAAAATGGAATATGTTGTAAAGGAACATTATGCCACCTGTTATTCATCTTACAGCTTTTTTTTAATTATTACATCTTGTTATATCCAGTAAAAGTGAATCAATGCATTTCCCTTGGACATCTCTGAACATGTCTGTTTTGTGCGTGGTTGTCTTTATTTCTTCCCCACATGTCTCAAGACGAGTCTTGCCCATTGTCAGAAAACATTTTATATGACAAATAATGGGTCTGTTTTAAAGTATCTGTTTCATTTAGCAACTGACAGCTGCATGAAAGCATCCATCAGAAGTTTTAAGCCAAATCTTTATTGCCATTGCTCAACAAACTTGTCTGGCTGATTCATTGTGAGATATGATAATGACGGTCCGTCCAGCTCAGGGCCTGTATTTATCAAACTGCAAAGAGTAAAAACTTGCATTTATGGGAAAGACAAAAGTACAAATTCTTCATGTTTACCTATATTAACAAACTTAAGAATAAAAACTATTGTAGCGCTGGGGGCGGGGAGACACTTGGCAGGATCCCCCATAATGTCAGACTTCCATGTGTCTTCATTGTCTGCAATGCACTTGGCAAAATGTTCTTCATATTATATAATATCTGTGATGTAGCTCTCTGGTTTTCTTGTTGTTTCCATTTGATTTTGGATTTCTTTTAAAATAATCCTACACATCTGGTCCTTGCTTATTAACTGCAGTTAATTTCACAATCCCACTTAACTGTAAGTCAAGATATTAAGCATTTCCATCCATCCATTCGTTATCTATACCCCTTATTCTGAACAGGGAGCCGATCCCAGCTGACAGGTTGCCAGTCGATCACAGTATTAAGCATTTCACACAAATCAAATTAAATGAATGAATTTGTTTTTGAGAATAAAATCACTATGTAAGATAATATACTATTCAACTAAGTAAATTAATATGGAATAATTACAGTTAAATCCCTCTATTGTTACATGCTCTTAATGATGTGATCGTTTGAAAGGTTTCTCAGAAAGTTTCCTTTAAAGCAAAGTTTGTTGAATACAGGCCCCAGTCTCAGAACATTCTGGCAGTTACTCTGCTTTCCCTCTTTAATAATCTTATAATTCCTGGAAGTACACAAAGTCAGACAAACTAAAAATGTATTGAAGGAGTAGATGAATCAGCCATGCAGCTTTTATAGCTGCTGGAGGGAGGCAGTGACACACTAGACGGCTCACACAAAGTGCCTCCTATGTTTTTCCAGCTGTAGATTATGTGCCATCGTTACTCCCCACCTCCCCATCCTCATTGCTACCGCCAGTACTGATCTGAGTATGAGATGGAGGTACACAATGCTGAATAACAGTTAGGATTTTTCTGAACAGATACCAAAGAAGAGGCCAAATGCAATAAGAGGTTTTCATACGCTAAGTCTCTCGTTGTTCATTTCACTACAGATGAGGCTCAAACAACACAATAATTAAACACTTACTTCAAACTGATATGCGAGAAAATAAATTGGACGCCGACATCGACGCAGAGACTCACACACACACACACACACACACACACACACACACACACACACACACAAAAGATAAAATAATCACATCCATTCCACTGAATTCTCTGCAGGAAAGTCATTAATAGTTTTAAATGAGCACAAGCTGCCGCTGATACAACTGATCTATGTGTGAAATGGAATTAGGCAGCTTAGGGTGACAAGTGGAATCTTTTATAGTCAATACTCATTGCTCATTGTGGCAGTGTAAATGATGCTTTTTTGTCTACTGCTCGGTGGTTAACAAATGACGCTGACAGCTCATATTTTCTGTTTTGACATATCAATCAATTTAACTGATACGATCATCCATTTAATCACTGATACATGATATGTAATTCTGCACTGTTATCTAACAAAGGTAGCCACATTGAGTATCCACAGGTAGAAAGTAAGTCAGTGCATTTCCTCGAGTTCTACCCAACATCCTTATTGGAGTATTTCTGTGTTATGCATCTTTATACTTTTACTCCACTACAGCACTGTACTGTATATTTCAAATGGAAATGTTGTACTCTTTTACCCCCAGCTTCCAGTTTATTAGGAACACCTAGCTGAAACTAATGTAACAGTCCTTACGTACATTCTGCCTTCATGAAAGTGATAATGTTCAGTTTTAGTTGAAATTCAATTCATTTTCATTTCACTTCAGTTCTATTTGTAGAGCACCAAATCACAACAAAGATCATCACACTTTACAGTGGAAGGTCAAGACATTGTAATATTATAGAGAGCCACTGCTTTGCAGTTGTATGCCTCTGCCAATCAGTCAAATTCATGGGAATGGGACAGATATGAGGTCACTGACCTTGACCTTTGACCATCAAAATCTAATCAGCTCATCCTTAAGTCCAAGTGGACACCTGCGCCAAATCTGAAGGAATTCTTTTAA